TTGAAAATTTTTAAATTACTTAGAAATAGACTCAACATGAAAGGACCTTCACAACTATAATGGCAGAAAATTGAGGCAGAAATAAATACAAATTACAGTGCCTGATTATGGCCTGTATAAAATCCAAAAAGGTAATCAGGGCACCCCACACCCAGTGAAGAATAATCTTAATTAGGTGGAATGCATTTCAGCCGATATAATGAAGACGTCTGCTTTGAAGTTTGCAATTACAATATAAAGTGTCTGATGCAAATAGCCTTTTTTCCTATTCCAGTAATTCTATTTAAAATCCCTCTCTAAGAGCCACTATGGATTTTCCATTTTTTGCATTTTGTTTAAATTATAAACAATGTACAAACATTTTTATTATCTTATTCCATGAACTTAATATTGTATAGTCTTTAATTACTTCAGACATGCCAATTTCTAAGAAAAATAATTTGTTTCTAGAAGGCTTGATGTACTACTAATGTTTTTAAATTATATGGCAGCTCTTTTTAATACAGAAAAACACACACACTCGAGTAACTACATCCTTCTGTTTAGATAATCATCTTAAGCAGATGCTTGAGTTTTCATTTAATTTATGTTCTCAGAACCATATGTTTTGAGAAATGTAAAATTAAAGGAGTAAAAATAAGATTCATTCTAAAAAATGCAAAGCTGCACTATAATATGATAATAAGGTTAGATGCATATGAAAATAAAGAAATATGTACTACTATTATTTAAAGACCATAAGCTATTCAAAATTACACAGCTTGAATTACACTGAAGTCTGATTTTGCAAGACAGAATTTTCTATCATGGAATCTGGTGTCATTAAAATTTGAAATTCTAATATACATTTGATTCCACTTTATGTGCATGTGTTATATTATTTGTACTGTGCAAAGATAAAAATATAATTTAATAAGTTTGGTATTCCATTTTACTCACCAAATCCCACTATTATTTTTCTTTTTCCTACTAAGGATAGCATAAGCCAGAGAAGAATTTAACAGACCTCTCAGAACATGTTCCCAAACTAGATACACCTCCTGAGCTCTAAACATGTATTCAAATTGCCCATTTCTACATTTCCTCAAATGGCTTACAGATATATAAAGTTTAAGATACACAAAACACAGTTCATTTCTTTGGCACTATTGTCTTGTACATTTTTAAACTCATTTAATGCAACCAGCCATTGCCTCCCAAGACTGGTTTATGACTCCCCTCCTTTCCCTTCACAGTGAGTGACTATATCCCAATATCTCGCTTGAATCCATTAGTCCCTTCCTTTCGGGATTCTAAGTCTTCTCATTTTTTCACTTGGACACTTGCACCATGTTGATTTGTCTAGCGTCCTTCTGAGATTCTGACACAGACATGTAGGCAAGCTTGCTAAAGACAAGTCTGATCTCATCTCCCCACCACCTGTAACCTCCTCGTTGACAGTTTTAAAGGATTTTCTTCTGCCCTTTTTCCACATGTCTTTACTCCCTGCACAAATGGTCACTCAGAGCCACCACTAGCAGGTCTCCTAACAGACACAACTGAATCCCAGTTTTTCTCATGGGAATGACTACTAGGTCACTTCACTCCTCCAGACTCCTGCTTCTTCCTGCAAACTTTTCTGATCTCCCATTTCATAAGCACTCTTCTGCTCTCAGTTCTCCTTCCTATTCTCACACATGCCTTTCTTCTAAAATTTACTACTCAGCCTGTGGGGGCTTCTTTACTTCTTGATGTCTGCCCCAACAACCATAGGTTGGGAGCACCTGGAGAACAGGGCTTTTCTTTTGGCTACCTTTTAACCTAGAAGCATGTCATTTATGGGTTCAGCAAGTATTTGTGGACTGAGTAAATATTTATAACTGACACTGAATAAAAGAAAGCAGATACATGGGAGTATTACTTTGAATTTCCAAAATTCCATCACTATTGCCCAAGTTTCCCATACACTGCATGGCCTTTTTATGACCCAGCCCACAGGCTGCATAGCATTACATCCACTGAACTTGATTTGTCCAACCAGACTCAAGAGGAAGAGCCATACACCTAGACCCTCCATAAGTGTCCAATGAAGGCCATTTAAAAACCAGTCATGGGGCCAGAGATTTAGCTCAGTGGTTCCAGCACCTGCTTTGCAAGCACAAAGTCCCAAGTTCGATCCCCTGTACCAAATAAATAAATAAATAAATACAAACCAGACATCATCAAAGAATGCTAGTGAACCAACTCATTATTTTGAAAATATTAAAGAAAATACCTTTAAAAACACAAAAATATTTATGGGTAAAATAACAATGTCTTGGATTTTCTCCAAAATGAAATGAGAAAAAATATCACAGGTAGGGACAAATATAAGAATTTTTATGAGAATCACTTTGATAGTAGAGTAATGATACTTGGAGGTTCGTTATACTATTTTGTTTAATTTTACATTAAAATCTCATTATTTACTTAAACATTGTGTTAACCCCTTAGTGATACTAAATAAAGTAAATTTAGTATCCTAGATAAATTCTACAGTGCAGCCTATGGTCTGATCCATACCCAGTAACTCAGAATCACCTGGAACAAGCCTACTTTTCACCTACATTTATCCTCCATAAAACTACACAGGACATGGTTCCTACAGAGGGCCAAGAGTTCACATAGAATTTACAAGTTGTAGAAAAACCACATCTTCTTTATCCAGTTTCCAACGGATGGGCAAAATGTCTGTATAAAAATTCACCCATGACTGCCTCCCTGAGATGCGCTTTCTTTAAAAATAACTTTGTATGAGATGAGTGACCGCTGAGACTCATTTTCTACTTCTGCAAAGGGGAGACAACATCTCATACGATGCATGTATGGATTATACAAAATAATGTACATAAATCAGTAGAATGTTTGAACTATATATATTCAATAAATGGGAAATTCTAATAAAGTAAAAAAAAAAAGAAAAAAGAAAAAAGAATTTACAAGTTGTAAGTCTCCATTTTTTTTTTTCCCAGAATGTCAAGTCTCATTTTTCTGGTGCCCACTGAATTCCTCAGACTCGCTGCTGTGTCCCAATTGATGCCCACCATTTGCCATCCCCGTGCTCCCTCCAGTCCTCCCTCAGCCCATTTCTTCCCTACAGGGTAGATTTGCTTGGAATGCATTGGTGATTCCTGGTAAGGCTTCTCCAGAGGCAGACAGCAGCAGAGGGTAAGGAGACTATTTACATTCATGCTCTTTTCCTGCCTTGTTAGCACAAGATAGGAGTTTCCTCTCAAGAGACATTACTCCTACTGAATGGCACTTTCTGAGTAGTGGCCTTTCTGTTGTAAGTGACCACTTTTTTATCTTTGCATCGACACATGAGGAACTGCTGTCTCCCCTAAACCTAGTACACTATGAGTAGGAGTTATTCCATTAAAGTCTCTTTTGATTTCTGTTCCTGTCTGCCCCCTCTCCACTGTTCAGACATTAATTATACACTTGTTGACAAGACCATCCTAACCAAAAGAGATTAGACAAAGAACTTGACCCAGATATAGACAGACCAAGAAGTCAGAGAAAATGAAAAGGTGAACAACAGGAAGCAAGTGCAATGGCACTGGAGTATAAAAGTAGCAAAGGGTAATCAAAGCTATGTTTGATTGTGAGCTACTTGAGCAAGAAAGCAAAAGTACAAGTAAAAAAGGCTAGAGAACCAGAGAGAAATTGACTTTATAAACCAAATAAGGATTTTGATTTTGATTCTAAGAGCAAGCAAATGGTGAGTGTCTGATTTCCCTTTGGCTTCCAGTCCCACAAAACAGACCATCAACCCTGAGACAGTTCCCGGCAGCCTCCTGCCACAGAGTCAGAACTAGAGAGCTTTGGTGGATGGTAACCACTCAAGCAATGTTGGCTGGAATAAATGAATGAGTAAAACACACAAGGACTCTCTTGGGGCTTTTTCATTATACACTAGCATGGTTTTGTCACTTCAGTAATCCTTCCTTCCACACGTCATTTCTGAACTTAATCCCGTTGGCTCTTTGCTATCTTGCCTGCCATGAGCACAGAGAGCAAGAGCAGTATATGAGCTCCAGCCCTGAGCCAAGTCAATTTCATTTTCCACATCCTTACAACCACCTCATCCTAGGGATTCTAGTAAATTTAACAAGGAATACCACCAACTCACATGACGGAGACACCTGCCACAGTCATCTTAGGTTATTCTACTAAGCATTACTAATTTGAGGTGACCGGGAAAGAGTCATTGGTAACTGATCAGATGAGTAAAATGAGACCTATTTGGGTTTATTAAATTTTTTTTGCTGTAATACATAAAGCATACTACAAAGCAAGTGCTAACCAAGGATTACAAATAAGCCTTGTATTGATTTGCTTTACTAATACTGTAACCTGATTTATATGACATAAAAAGTGTAATTTTTAATTAGTCCCCTCCTCATTTAAGAGTAAGTGGGAATGCATGGCTAAAATCTGCCTGAAAATATATTTATATTATAAATTTATTTTAATATAACAAAATAACATTAAAATACATGGTATTCCCAACACTGATAACTAAATATTCAGTAAGGTTACAATAGTGTTTCTATATATGGGTATTTTATGATAATGGATATACTCATCTCCTTCATAAGGAAGCAAAATGAAGTTGAATGCAGGTAACCCATTTCATTTTTTACCTAATTATTGCATTCAAGATCTCAGTAAACTAAAAAAGTATGAAATGCTGTGGTATCTGTGGCATCATACTTTTAAAAATTAGCATGAAAACTTTTTATTTTGGTAGAAAATTAATCAGGGAACTTTTCAAATGCTATTCATTTTTTTTTAAAGTTCAAACAAATACATCAGTTTTCACAGTGACATTGTTCATGTTTTCCTGAGCAACTCTATCTGTATAAAATTTATAAACTGATAGAGCAGGAGAAAAACATATACCAAACTCTGGTGGAGTAAACTCTTAATTGTGACTCAGATACATATTTTGTTTTCAGTAAAACAGTAATACGTCTCACCAGAGAGGCCATGGTGAATCCGATGACTTCAATGTAGCCGTCATCATGACGCTGAGGTTCAAAGTCATGGTGATCTCCTGGGTTTCCCCATGGCATTGTGCCAGCACAATATCTGCAAGGCAAAGTTAAAACTACAATAAAATGGACCCCATTCTCCTCGTGATTATCATTAGGGATCAACTGACAGTTAAGTAAATTCATATCTGTGTCAAAACCTCACACAGTATCCCATACTTATGTACAGTTGTAACGATTTAATGTATCAGTTTAAAGATAAATTTAAAGAAAAAGAATTCATAATTAGACCTGGTGTTTATTAAATACAAGAATTATTTTCTGCTCTTGGTGTATGCCTTTCAAGAGAAAAGAAAATGAACTTTTCATTTCTAAAATAACAACCTGTGAAAATGTATGAAAATGGGAAAAACAGCCTGCGGTACCCAAATTTCCCTTAATTCATTATTTTTCAACATTTCTCACTGTTGAGCTCATTTATGTCTCTCTTTTATGATATAGTATAAATTATGTTTAGGTGGTGCCAGAATTCTATCTGAAAGGAAGACACATTCATGCTACTGTAAGAGAGACAACCCACATGGGCAACATTTACCACCATACACACAACTGAGGTAAGTATTCATAGGTAAGAAAAAAAAGGAAGAAAGGATGAAAAAGATATGAAATGATAAAAGGAAGGGTATATAATGGAAATAAGAGTAGAGGGTAAAGAATACAAAAGGAAGGAGGAGGAATAAGAAAAATAAAAAGAAAAGGGGAACAGAAAGACAAAAAGTAAAAACCCTGAAGGCCAATGTTTTGTGTGAATCTAGGCTGTCCACTGAAACTACACTGAAGATAGCTCTGGAATAACACTTTGACTATACTGAGCCATGCCAGGAATACGTGGGAGGCTATGACATGTTTCCTATACATAAACTTACATAGGACTCTCATTTCAATCGAACTCAGTTTAAGAAGAATTTATTTGTATATTTTGTGGCTACATTGTTTATTGGATAAGAAACAAGGGTTATAGATCCATTCCTTCCAATAGCTTGGCCTCAATGCCTAGATACTGATTTTATGCCACCAAAGTAACATGCTTATTTTGAGACTAGTTAATCTTAACATTCCTTTATCTTGGAGAATATAATAGTACTAAAGAGTGCTGACATCCTGGCCACAATGTGCTGATCTAATTGATTCTATTTTTTCAAATCATCTGCCAATGAGATCCAAAGGGCAAGACAGTTTTCTAACAGCTTCAGAGAAACTGATAACAGGCATTTACTTAACTATATCTATTATTCTTGGAGGCAGAGGAGTGAGGTGAAGAGGGGCAGTAATTGAGAATAAATTAAAATGTTTCTATAAAGAGAGGCAAATGGGTTTCTTAAGGCTGGGTGAGTCCAGACCATGAACTATATATATGTATACAATTACCTACAAAAGCAAGCACTCAATAAACCAAGGAAGAGAACAAATATTCACACCTGAAAACCGCTACCAAGTCATAAAGAGAACTGATTTTCATTGGTTACAGCTGAAATGTTTCTGTTTGGAAAGCAGATAAGCTCAAGTCAGAGTTCACAACAAACCATAGGCACAACATGAACAGAGCTTACCTGGGTATATTTAAAAATACTATACACTGGAACTTCAGTTCCTGAATCTTTGGGGTGAGATCTGTTCCATCACACTGCAACAATGAGAGCAGAAAGGCAAGATTTCTGAGGTAGTCACAAGTCTTAATCACTGATCACGGATAGCCAGGGTAGACAGCAGAATACACTGTGCCCTTCTGCCCTGTGCTCCTTTATTCTGCTTAGGTGAGTGCTAGTTTGCATGACTGTGAGAATGCTGGTACCTGGACTAGAACCAGCTCTCAATGCCTTAATTTAAACAATTTTTGCTCTGTTCTGGAAATCAAAGGAAATACTATCATTTTAAAACCTGTATTACTATTAGGTATTTAGATACATCATAGTAAGACTAAAACACCCTTAAAAGAATAAAGCTTCAGTAGCATTCATCACCACAACCATCCAATTCAAACATGTCATGAAGTTTTCTTTGCTTTTTTTGAAATAAAAAATTTTATTTCGAAAACATCAATCATAATGCTTTGAACACTTTGTAAACAATATATATACAGCAAGTTTTTGAAAAGGTATTTATAAGAAATAGTATCATCTGAACAGACAATCTTATTTTTGCCATGGAGTGAGACTAGTGCTTTAGATGTAAACAGTTAATAATGTCTCACAAATGTAAAAGGTGTGTAAGAATAGTCCACGAAAACACAAAACAGCAAGTGATGTGTACTCACAAACTCAATCTTTTAGAGACTTGAATTGGACTTCTGAGATGAAACTGTTTCTTTGGACACGACCCTAGTCTCAAAGGCCCCTTAGAGGATGGGCTCAGTACTTTTACCTGAAGCTTCTTGGACCAATGAGTGCTTTCCCAACAGTGACATCCTCTGACTCATAAAAGAAAAGCCTCCTACTCCCTTTCTCCTCTCCCACTGGTGCCAAATGTCAAAAGAGGAAAACTCTAGCCAGACAGACTATAGCTGTCTCTATCTCAAAGGTAGAAAGCCTGCTTTTCCATCTGCTTTCTCACACTCTGTCCCAGCAGTTCTTCATTACTTTTTCTTTGGAAAAGAGAATAAAACCTTCCCCTAACTCCCTACAAGTTTCTGAAGATGTCTTTAGCTGGAATTTCCATCTAAGTATAAATGATTTTGCGCTAGTTAAGGTTGTTTCTAGGTACCCACATTCTTTTCCCAGCTAATCTTAATACAGTCTATTTTTATGAGCATTCTCAAAATTGTTTCCAGAAAATCTTACAACCCTAAATAAAGTATTTTCCAATATAACATAGAGAGGAATCAAATTCTAGATAGTGACTGAAGGTATTTTCAGATACTATAAACTACCAAGCAAACATAAAATGTTCCAATTTATTTAAGGACTTGAAATAAGTTCATGAATGACTACGCCAATGAAGAAAACATTTAGACATTTCAAATGATTAAAGTTGAGGGCTGGAAGCAACTAAAATTTCAAAAAAATAGAATGTGATACAATAATTGCAAGCAATGTTGTTGCATTACAGAAAAATGCCATAATAAAAATGACTGTGTTTAGAATAGAATTCATTTTTTAAATTTTCTACTCTTTCCTCCTGAGAAACAAGTCAGTGATTCTAGGAATTCACCAAATAATATAAAGATGTACATCTTACAATATATAGTATTTTACCAAGTTTTTTAACCTAATATTACATTAAATTGCACTATTCTTTAGAATAGCAGTTTTCAATGTTTTCCCTTCAATCACACACAAAGTAAAACATGTGTATGCAAAATACATTCCTGTGTACAAACTCACTATTGATAAGTCAAATAAGAAAAATATGGAGAGTAACACAAACAGCACTACATGCAGGATTTTTATATTGTTTCACATTTTCTTGATCTAATATACACATATACACATTTTACATTTATAGGACTGAGGCCAGGGATTTACCTCAGTGGTGCCACCACCTGCCTCTCAAGCTCAAGGTCCCAAGTTTGATCCCCAACACCAAAAAACAACAACAAAAAAAACAAAACAAAACAAAAAAAAACTGTATGACTGAACTGTGAGTTCCTTTAAGAGTAAAACTAGCCTTTCTGTGTAACTTCATACACAACAAAGACAGTGGCAACACAATAAGTACTCATGAATGTTGGTATAATGAATCATACTAAATGTCCTCTAAACTATAGATAGTACAGTGATTAATCTATATATAAATTCATCTCTGGGAGCTTATTTTTGTGATATTCATATTTACATACAAATGAAATGAATCATGTCTAATACTTACAACAACTTTAACATGTTTGGATAGATCTCTAGAACTTCTCTGTAGGAAATCAGAAAAAGCTGCCTATATCACAGGAAATAGGAGAAAAGACATTCTGAATTACCAACAATATTAAAACAACAATATTTAAACATAAATATAAATGTGTGGTGTATGTGTTACTATTTTTAATGTACAGTATCTATTACTCAGTGAATTGACAATAAATAATATACAACAGCTATAAGACAAAATGTATGTACTTACCCCAGCATAGAACATTTTATTTCGAAAGCGACTATTGAATTTCTCTGGATTTGCTTCTGTGAAAGAGAAGAAGTTTTGTTCTAGAGATGTCTTTAAAGATTAGCCCCACCCATGTACCCTACAGATCTAGCAGATCCAACAGTGCTGTTATCATCTTTCTTTACACTCCAGCCCAGTTGCTACCAGCACAGTTGTCCAGGGCTACAATAGCTCAGCAATAAACTGGCAGCACTGGATGTAACTGGCAGCTTATTAGAAATGCAAACCACTAAGCCCCACCTAAATACACTGAATTTAAAAGTTTGAATGGGGGTCTAGGAAAGGCAGTGTCATGAGCTTTCTGGATCATTTTTATTAAAGGTGAGACTTATTGAAATTTGAGCCACTCTGGATTGTTTTTAAAACAGAGGAAGGAGTTGGAGGTGTGATTATTTCCAATGACCCTCGGGCATGCAGGTCCAAATATAACTGGATACAGGAACTTTGGATGAAAATTAATGAAGAATTTACTTTAACATTTTGAAAAAAACTCAGTGCTACCATCTGCTCTCCTGGTTGTGATATGCCTTGGAAGAAATCATTTGTTTTACTAGAGAAAACACACACACACACACACACACACACACACACACACACACACAGATGGCCTGCTAAATGGACTTAGCATATTATGGGAAAGGCTGTGGCTGAAAAATGATTTGATTTTGAATTTGGTCCTATTTGTTACATAATGACCCCCCCCAATGAAATAAGAATCCACATCAGAGAATTTTCACATGAATTAAAGGAATTATATAGTACCTAAATGAAGTATTTCCTCACAGGTTTCTTTCTAATAAAATTTCAAGGCATTCCAAAAGAACTTACTGTCTAAATTTGACCTTCTGCTATTTCATCTCCTATACTCAATTCCTTCTTAGGCTAAGTCTCTTTCCTAGTTCTTTCTGTACACAGTTGGCTACCCCGCTGAAACTCACCAAGTCCAAACCCTGACCATGAATGATAATCCCCAAAAGTTGCCTAGATGAAGAAGAGTAGCAAAGAATTCACTCAAGAAGATATGGCGAAGCAAAACATATAGGATCTCAGGAAATAATCCTAGACAAATGATTACTAGGTTATTTTAATGATTATTAGAGCATAACAACAACAAATTACCTAGAAATTAGGTTTGAAAACATGCAAACTAAAAATAAGCAAAGGGAGAATTGGGAAGATTGGCTCTAGGGAGCTATCTTCATCTATAAATAGTTTTTATATTTCAAAGCTTTCCTAAACTCTACACTACCACAATAAGTACTCTAACTCTAGAAACAAAATAAAACAAAATGCTAATGTACACAGTATAGTAAACAGAAGAAGAATGGCATTAACTGCTTCTGCCCTTCTTGGCCCCAGTGCTGATCATTTTTACATTCTGGGATTTCATCAGGATGAATGTGGCTGCTGAAATGATATGCTGCTTTTCACCTTTTTAGAATCAGACTTGGCTGGGGTCCATTTTCATTTTCAGTTCCACTAACTTTCTTGCTTTAGGAACCCAGAAGTAAAATGAGAATCTTTTTTGCTATGCAACTTATCATAAGAATACAGGCCATAATTTAAAATTTAAAATAACCATGTCCAGCTATGAAGGAAGTCTTTGAGCAATGAAAAATAGCAGCCAAAACTTGGCACAGAACTTTTTCAGAACATTGATGTCCACAGTTATTAACTGAATCATAGATCAACTATTAACATTTGCATATTTTATAATTTATGATTTGGAAAATATTAACATCATTATGAAGTTTTCCTGTAATACCCGAAAAACTGAAAACTCTTTTTAAGAAAGTTTTTTCTCTCAAGAGAGAGTACTTCCTCTAAGATCCCTAAAAAATTAAAATAAATATAAGAAACAAACTGCATTTTTGCTAATTTCATTCATGCATTTGACAAAAATAGTCACCTCCAATGTCATTTAGCTGAATAAATGTCAATGAAACAAATAAACTTTTAAAAACAGATCTCTGGAAACACCTCCCATTCAAAGAGATGTCAGACATCAGTTGGAAACCGGATAAAGAAGATGTGGTTCTTCTATTAAAATGGAATATTACTCAGCCATAAAGAATGAGAAAATAGATTCATTCATAGGAAAATGGATACATATTGAGGATATACTCCTAAGTGAAATAAATAAGTCACACATGTGTAAATACCGAATAGTTTCTCTGGTGTTAATAAACTGCAATAATACATAAGATCGTAATAAGATTACTGACAATGTGAAATGGGAAGAAGGAGCTAAAGGTGTACGGAAGGTGGGATGGGTAGGGGAAGGATAATAAGGGAAAAGAAAAAAATGTGAGATAATGAAAAGATGGAAATAGTGTTTGTAGTATGAATGTAACTGTACTGTATCCCTAAAATGTACCAATAAACTCAATTAAAGCTGAAAAAAAAAAAACAAAGAAATGTCAGAAAGATGTAAAAGAGGTAGGGGAGTTGCACATATGCTTTGGCTTGAACAGAAAGACTGAAAGGGAAATCCTGTTAGTTTTAGAATAAGAAACTTATCTTAATAGATACCAATGAATCCTAGATTGAGCTTGCCTTGACAACTGGGATCTTTTCTCTACTTTTATATCTACCCTATTCCAAGAACAAAATCAGAGTAAGAAAACTTCAGCTGAAGCTAAGGGCGATGTCTCCGCTCAGAGATGGAGCGTGACCACTTCACGCAGAGGTCAGGCCATGAGAAAGCAAAGGGCCTCCTGCACACAGTGACACCTAGTCATTCTCCATTGGCTATGCAAAGCAAAGGACAGGATGGTTGATTGTGCTGGGTGATTGTGCCTATGTGTACAAGGGCTGATGTGTCTTTAAGGAAGACCATCTGAAAAGAGTAAGGAAAAAGAATTGGGAAAGTCAATGAGAAAGTTTAAGGACGCCAACTCCCTCAAGAAGTGTGATTATTAGTTGATATGAGGTGAGCACAGAAACCACTCTCACACACACAAAAAAGCTAACAAATATTCAACATATCAACATATCTCAAGAACTGATGGTGGAAGTAGCCATGATTTATTGTTCCTATTCCTAAACTGCCCTTCCTCCTCATCCACAAAAACAGAGTATGGATGGCAAGACGCATGCATTTGCTGTGTTTGTCTATGCCACCGTTCTGCTGACAACCTGACTGGGAACCAATAATAATTGTACTACTTTCCAATTCCTCCCATAACAAATCATTATAAACTTGCCAACTTAAAACAACACCTATTCATTTTCTTAAAGTCCTCTAGGGCAACATACTCAACTATTTCTCCTGGGACCTCTTCTTAGGTTCTTACCAAGCCCAAATCCTGTCAGCATGGCAAAGACTCACTTCCAAGTTTGTCCAGGTTGTTGGCAGACCCCGTAACCTTGAGGTTGCAGAAGTGCAGTTTCCTTTCCTTGCTGGATGTTGGCTAGGGTTCCTCATCAGTTTGAGAAGCCATCTGCATTCTTCCATCACCCAGCAAAGGCATGTCAACTCCCAGCCCTCCATGACTTCCCTTCTGCTCTCCACTACTGCTTTAAAGGGCTCACATTATTACCTTGGCCTACCCAGATAGTCCTAGATTCTATTCCTATCTTAAAATCAGCTGATATGCTAACTTTAATTACATTGACAAAGTCCTTTATTTTCTAAGACAACATAACCTTAGGCATAATGACATGATAATCATTGTGGCCAAAATTCTACCTGCTGCTATCTATCCTCTGGCCTCCATGATTCATTTCACTCCCAAATGAAAATATATTCACTCCATCCAAGGTTCCCAAAGGTGCTCATCTCATTATAGCATCAACTCAAAATCCAAAAATCTCATCTAAATCTCATTAGCTCAAGCTTCATAAATCTTATTATCTAAATCAGCTAAATGATTTGGCTGTGGATATAATCCACTTATGATGATGATGGAACTCTCAGTGTAATCCATTCAGTTGATTAAATATGTTCACCTCATCATCATGTACAGTACAATAGCGTGATACAGGCCATAAGAATGGGAATCCTAGCCAGGAATCTTTAATCTCAGCATTCTGGGAAGCTGAGGCAGAAGGATTGCATATGCAAGCCCAGGCTTAGCAATTTAGCTACTTAAAGAGACCATATTGTGATATAAAAAAATAAAAAGGGGGTAGGGATATGGCTCAATATGAAGGCCCTGGGTTCAACTGCCAATACTAAAGAAAAAAATGGAATCCTAAAACTCTACTTTTGTCTGTGATTTCTCTTACAGATTTAGCTTTAAGTCCCTTTCAAATATTTATTTCAGTCCAGCTGTCATTCCCTAGGTCTTAGGAGGATCTGAGAAAAAGGACTTATTCACTCCCTCTTCCTGTCAAACTAAGTTCTTATTCCTCTTTGCCCTTGACTGGCCCCATTAACAGTCTCTACGACAGTTTTCTTTGAGCTAGTCTTATAGCTTTCCCAACAAATATGTCTTCAAAAAAGCAGGAAATGCAAGATACCTAAGTCACAATCATATAGTTTCTGTGTAAGCTACCTTTAAAAGCATACACAATGACAATAAGCACTGCAAAGGGTCTCAAAGATGCTTCAGCTATCAACACAATTTCCCTTGGGCTTCTCTACAAAGTCTGCACCATTCATCCCTTACAGTTAGCCCCTAGGAAGGAATACAGCTATGGAATCCAGGGGATCATGAGCACGCTACTCTCTTGCCATGGGTCTCCATCCTCCACCAAGTTTTTCAAAAGCCCAAATAATACAAGGGCAAGAAAAAGTACTCATGAAACATGTATAATTTTACCTCCTCAGATATTTAGTATTTTATTAATTAACATGCAATTATTATAAATTAAGGTCAACATCTGGAAATTCTTAACATGAACGTGTAAGGCCTACTGGTCAAAATTTATGGCTGAAATCTCTCAGGTAAAAAAAAGGAAACAAACAAAACAAAACACTGTTCCCTAGAAACTTGTATAAATGGAAGCAGAAAACATGAGCAGGCAGAAGCACATCAAAATGCTGCTCTTAAGTGCTGATCATGGAAGTTCA